GAAAAAAAAAGATTTGTGAAAGGTAAAAAAAACAAACAACCCCCCCCCCCCCGCAAAAAAAAAAGATATAAACGGCTGCTAGTCAGGTTGTTGATTGCTAAGTTGTCTTTTCTTTACAAAACGCCTACGAGTTGTTGGCCGTACGTGGGGCGCAGCCTTTGACTTTCCCAAACGCGAGTCATCTGTGACATTGTCGTCGTCGTTGCGGTCGCACGGCAGGAGATGAGCGAGGACGCGAGCACGCCGAAGAAGGAGAAGCAGGAGCGTCTGTCCAAACACAAGGAGAACATGCAGCACTCGCAGGCCGAGGAGGAGGCCGACCTGCTGGCCCGCCAGCGCCTGCGGCTGGAGCGCCACGCGCGCGCCTTCAAGCGCAGCGCCCTGCTCGCCCGCCACCGCCTGGAGCAGGAGCACATGCGAGAGGTACGCGCCACACCCACAACGCCGCACACGTGCGCGCTCCATCACAAAGAAAAGGGCAGCTGATAAAGAAGATGTGCACAGTGGGAGTATCGCAGCGTTGTCAACATTGCGGTTCGAGTTGAAGATTTGTTGCCTTTGACAAAAAAAGCCAGAGGGTTGGAATTTGTCGCGGTGTGGTGGTTCAGGAGCTGAACAAGAAGAAGAGCCAGAAGGAGCTGGAGCACGCCACGCTCATCCGCCACGACGAGTCCACGCAGGAGCTGGAGGGCCGGCAGCTGCGCAGCCTGCAGAAGCTGCGCGAGGACCTGATCCGCCTGCAGCACCAGACGGAGCTCGACAACCAGATGGAGTACAACGGCCGACGCCAGAGGGAGCTCCACCGTAAACACGTCATGCAGCTGCGGCAGCAGCCCAAGAACATCAAGGTGGCTGTTACAAGAAGACTTTGTTTTTTTTCTCTCACGCACCTCGGAAAAAACGTTATCCCTTTTAAAAATGAAATGAAAAGTTTTTCTCATGCAGCTTCCTCACGTCACGTTGTTGTTGTTGTTGTGCATGCAGTCGCTGGAGCTGGCCATCAAGAAGCAGTTCCAGGACACGTGCAAGGTGCAAAGCAAGCAGTACAAGGCGTTACGCCACCACCAATTGGAGGTGACGCCCAAGGGCGAGCACAAGAGCGTCCTCAAGGCGCTCAAGGACGAGCACACGCGCAAGCTGGCCGTCCTCGCCGAGCGCTACGAGCACAGCATCAACCACATGATGGCCTCGCAGGCGGTGCGTACCCACAACGGCGCAACGCGCATCTCCTCACACAAAAGCCCCGATCGGTTGAGCAACAGGTGGACATTTTTTTTTCGGCAACGTCTCTGCTATCAACGTATTGCGCAAGCTTGTAGAGGTCAAACATCAAAATAAAATTAAAATTAAAAAAAAAAAACAAAGCATGACAATATCTCAAAAACCTGATGTGCTAGGAGAAAAATTTAGCGTGAAAAATAAATATAAGGACATCTAGAAGCCTTGCATCATTCAAATTTGCTGTTTACCGGTGGAGCGATGCGCAAACGAAAACACTTTCTCGCTAACTTTCAGAAATTTTACTTTTTCCTTGTTACATTTCACTTCATGACAGTTCCCCTGCTAAATGACCATTTAATTTTCCGAGCTTTACAAGCCTTTTTTTTTTCAAATACATTTTCTGGCACCCCCCAAAAAAAAAAAAAAAAAAAAAAATTCCTTGATGCAATAAATACTCTTGTTTTGCCAGGGAGCATTTTCCCCCAACCTGTCCAATAGCTTTTGCGCCACATACATGTGTTTTGTGGGGGATGAAGGCCTCACGTTGTGATTTTGTTCTGTCGTCGTGTTGTCGCGGCTCAGCTGCGCCTGGACGAGTCCCAGGAGGCGGAGTGCCAGGCGCTTCGGCAGCAGCTGCAGCAGGAGCTGGAGCTGCTCAACGCCTACCAGAGCAAAATCAAGATGCAGACGGACGCGCAGCACGAGCGCGAGCGACACAAGCTCGAGCAGAAAGTCTCGCTCCGACGTGCCCACCTCGAGCAAAAGGTACAAACGGGGGCCTTTGGGCTCTTTGCACCCATGCCTGCAAACCCCTTTTCTTTGGTGGGCCTGCCCATGCTAATGGTTACTCGCAAGTGAAGCTGAATTCTTTGACGAGATTCTGGAGCGTGTTACAGAGCCAAAATGGCTGACCTGTATGTTTTCACCACTAGCTTCATGACACTTTATTTTCTTCTCATGATGGGCAGATGTACCAAGTTTCTGGCTGCTAAGTAAAACGAGCATCCAGGGGTGAATTCGTCAAAAAATAAATAAATAAAATCCCGAGGCAATTTTATAGGTCACCCAAAATGTGAACCTTGACGAGGACCACCACCAAGCTACAAAATGTCACGTTTGCAGTCTGGGAAAGCTCTCAGAATGTCTGACCTCGATAACTTGCCATTGTTTCTGCACGGTGACTGCAGGTGTGCGTGGGCTCCACGTTTTGGTGTGCGCGTAAATGAATGCGTGTTTGTGAATTTTCCCTGTGATTGATATGCGTGCGCGCGCTGAAAGGAGAGCGTGTGGCGATGATGTCATGTGTGCAGACCACGGACGAGGCGGTACGGTGGCGTTGTGGCGTCGCCTGTCGCCCTCTGCTGGCCGCCCGGGGACGTGGCGCTCCAAAACACATGACGTCATACTTTGCACAAACAACTCCAGCAGGACTGGCGGCGTGCCTGTGATGTTTGGGTGTGTGTGTGTGTGGGGGGGGGGATATAGAGATTGTCAGGACGTTAATCAACGTTACTTTGGTTTTTCATACTAAAAGTAAAATGAACAGTAATTGGTTGTCCATTTCCTCTCTTCCTTTTCGTGTATTGCCTTCGCGGACGCGCAACAAGTCATCAACAGAATGTGATTTCAAAGTTCGGCCTAAACACACGTTTTGACACCGTTTTGCCCCCATTATTCCAGCTCTTCTTGATAACGTTGGTCTTGCTGGGAATAAAAATATCTAGATTTTGTTGTCACGTGCCAACAAAACGGACCTGAAGCGGAAGGAACGGCGACGTGGAGTTTATCTCGTTTAAAGTGAAAGTGATCTTCGGACTGAAACTTAAAATAAGAAAGCGAGTGTGTTGTTGTTGTTGTTGTGGTCAGATGGAGGAGGAGTTGCTGTCGGTGCAGAAGGATCGCACGGAGCGCATCAAGCATCTGCTGGAGCGCGAGGAGCGCGAGCTGGACGCCTTTGATGCGGAGAGCGCGCGGCTGGGCTTCGCCAACTTGGCCGCGGCGCTCGACTGGGCCAAGGACGACTACAGATGAGGGGCGGGCGCCGGTCGGCTCACCCCAGCGGCTTTGGCCAGGCCCCACCCCATCCCCCTTCCCCTTCCCCATCTTCTTCAGACAGCCAATCCGCGGGAGCACCATTCGGAGCCTTTGCCTCCGCACTGGCAGCCGCTGTGAAGAACAAGAAGAAGAAGAAGAAGACGATGAAAAATCGTCATCGTCAGGTGACGAGTGGATTCCAGCACAAAAGGGCTCGCTAGCACGCGCCGACTTTGAACCCAAGGATTTGACGGAGAGCTTTTACTTATTTTCATATATTGTATTTTAACTGCGATTTCACTGGCAAAACAAAAACCCACACGTTTTCCCTTCTCCGATTCAAGTGTTCCGATTTTCTTCTTCCGACGATGATGAGGATGATTGCATGCACTTTAATCACGGCCAGCAACCGACCGCGCTCGGCCCAACGGGAAGCGCGAAGGTGTTGACACGCTTTCAATTATATTTGTAAATAAAGTGCTCATGACACAACACCCACGTCCCACCCTCCTCTTCTTCGAGTACACCGGTGCGTTTGGGGCTTATAAAAAGTTTGAATTTCATGTTTTATTTTTTCATGATTTTTTTTCAAATTTGCCAAATTTATAAGTACATTTATATGATTAACAAAAAAATCAATACCAACTTGCCACCAGTTTTTTTGATGCTGTTTTGTATTCTAGTCACCAAGTTTTCACACTGAATTAATTTGAGGAAAAGATTTTTGTGACAACTTTGACTTAACTATATTACTCAAATTTGATTTTTTTATTCAAATCGGTGACTTTGTGCAGTGAATTAAAACAATTCCACTTCTAAATTTCTGCCATGAACCTAATTCAAATCAATACCATTGTTTTTTTTAATCACTCAGACATTCACATTGACTTTAAATTCTTTAAAAAGTTACATTTTTTTCCAAAATCCACTGACTTTCATTGAAAAAATAATAATTCCACGTTACCCTTGCAAGATTTGACTTTTACTCTTCATTTTATCAATCTTTTCACTATTTTTGCACTGAAATTTCCAAGTGAACTCATTTTTTATTCAAATTGTGAAACGTCAAAATAATGCTCGTTAAATGAAAATATTTGCTTCTAATTTTACCTTTTATGTGATTGTAGGACGGCCGATATTAAAATACCATTTTTTCCAGACCGATACCAGTCCTTGAAATCACTTTGAGTACTTACGATATTTCTAGTACTTTTGCTACATAAAATTTCATTTCACACAATGACAAAAAATGTGAAGAGCTTTCTGACACATAATAACCGTCTCAAACTGCTGCAGTGTAGCGCCAACTACTGCAGAGGACTTGTCGGCTTATTCTTGTGTCGGCAGCCTCCACAAACACCTGATACCTTAAAATAAGGTCAATAGTGGCCCGAAAATGGTACTCGCCCATCCCTGCTTAAAATATAAATGACAATTTTAATGCATTTTAGTTATTAAAAACTTTTTTTAGGGCTGTGAAAATGTGGAGGGGAGTAACCAGAGAGAGGCAGTCAAGCCGGTCAGTGATCTGAAGCAGACAAGGTGATTATGAAGCAGCTTTATTGATTCAATCCATTGATGTGCGCCAGGTGAAACGGCAGCCCCCGATTCTTCATTGTTGGCTGTTTCGTGCAAAGGAGGAGCAGTCCTACTTTCCCGCCAGCTGCTTGTAGAGTTTGGGCACATAGTCGTCCCATTGGGCCTGGTAGCAGGTGGCGGCGACGGGTGCGGCCAGCCCGTACTTGCGGCGGAAAGCGCCGACGCTGAACTTGCCGCGGCCGTTGCCCGAGCGGTTGGTGAGAACGGGCTCGGTGCACGACAGCGCTCCCGTCTGGCTGTACACCAGCCAAACGTAGCGGTGGAGACCTGCACACAGGAAATGCCATCGCTCGCTTCCCATTTTCCATAACTTGGATTCCATTTTCTTCCAACTTTTACTTTCTAATTGTGTCACCTGTTCCCTCAGGAGGACCGGAACCGACATAGTCGGATAAGACGACACCAGAGGACACGTCGTTTCCTTTCATGTTGACCACTAGGAAGTGATGCCACTCTCTGATAAACACAAGTCCACATTCACTTGTTTTGACAAGGTTTGCGTGAACACATTCCAATATGTCAATTAAGCTATACATTTTTAGGTTTAGTCAAAGAAAACTTTTGAATTCGTTATGAAAATTTGACGTAAAATAATCACATAGAAAATCAATGACCCATTTATGAAAATGAATTTATTTCTCAAGGTGTGTTAATGGTGTGACCTGAATTTGGGCTGTTCCCTGCTGGGGGCGTCTGGGTCAGTCAGGACTAAAGTGTAAAGTTTGCTGGGGTCACATCCCTCCCACTCGATGCATGTGGGACGGTTCTGAACCTGGTGGGGGGGGGGGTGAAAGGTCATCATATTCCAAATGAAAAAGTGAACCTAAAAAATGTCAGACATTTTTTTTAACAAGTTTGAGACACGTTTGCCTTCTGTTTTACGTATTATCTTTTACTCGAAAAGGTAAACATACGGCATTTAAAATGACACATTTTGTGACAAAATGTACTTGAAAAGGAAACCATGAATTTTGGTGAGAAATTAGAATTTTCAAAGACACCAACTGGGCCACCACTGGATCTAGGAACTTGTGTGGCAGACATATAAACGGATGTAGCTTTGAAACATGTTCTCGTATTCACAAATAAAAACTTTGATCGCGCATTACCTGCCACAACTAGCAACTCGGCTAGGCTAGATCAAGCTAAGCTAATGTAGCTAACCTGCGTGGGCGTGAGCACTTTGCCCAGCTCGTCGATCTCCACGGAGCCGTATTTGACGGTCAGAGGCTGGCCGGGCTTCTCCTCCACCTCTTGGAGTTGCAGCGGGCCACTCCACTGGTTTACATCCACGGGCATGTCTGGAAGGAGCCGCTAACCGCGAATTTAGACGCAAACGACTGTTACCTCTGTTTGAATTCGACAAGGCAATGAGACGTTCAGGGACCAGCACTCAAAGTGGAAAGCCTCCGTAACACTCTCCAACATGCTTTCCTCATTTTGAATTTGATTTCATGACCACTGTACACATAACGACCCATTTTTACTCCTATTCTCCCATCAGTCCACATTTATGATCAGGGAATTTCCTTTAAAAACTAATATTACTCAGGACTCGCACAACATTTGATCACCAAACACGAGCAGTGGCACAAAGTGGCCACTGGAGGACACTAAAACTGGAATCGCGGTTTTGGGATTCGTCACAGAAATTGTACATTGCAGATGCGTCAAGTAGCACATGATTGGTTAACATAATCTGCGTTAGTGTGTTCGGAAATGTATTGATGCGCAGAGCACTTTGTCTCTCCGAACCCACACATTGTCTGTCAGATTAGTGTACGGGCGTCGGAGTGAAAAAACGCGCCCGAGGTCAGTCGACACCCAGGGATCTCTGGTAGTTAACGTTCACAAAACAGCTCATCTTTTGTGACAATGTTTTTTTGTATTCATGGCAGGTTTGTAAATTGATTTTTTTGGCAACAAAGATTGTTACGTAAAAACACACGCACACAAAACAGTGAACAGCGACGAGGATTGTTTTGTTTTTTGTTTTGTTTTGAACAGAGGACCGAGGAGTTTACTTTTTTTGTATCCATGACAGTTTGTTTTGTTAACTGAGTTTTTGCAATAAAGATTGTTAAAATAGTTTACAAAACAATAAACAGGAGCGAGAAGTGTTTTGTTGTTGATGTTGTTGTTTTAACAGTGGAGCGAGGAGTTGACTTTAATACAAATGAGAAGTGGCCAAAGTGTTCGACGCCTTCAAAAGGGATTTCCAGCCAATGAAATTAGGCGCTGAGCAGCATTACAACTAATTTCATTGGGTAGGCTCGCCCCCCATGTCCCGCCTACACAAACTTCTACTTGCCAAGGATTGGACAACGTCCGTAACGTCACCACGTCGCCTGCGTGTGCGAGTTTGAGGAAATTGGCGGGGCAAACAGCCTGCTTCGAAAACGTTAACCCAGCCTCTTTTTTTCCTTCTTGAGTTTGATATCGCCAACAAACTTGTTCAAGTGTTCCTTTTACAAAAAGAATCTCCAGACATGAATGGAAACGGTGACGTGGAGGAGCTTGGTGACAAGCTGGACAAGTAAGTTAACGTTAGTTCGCCCGGTGAAAACCGTGTCCAACAACAGGAAATGTTCAGCTAGTGACGGAAGGCAGTCGGCGTGAGAGAGGAGGATGCACAAAAACGTTCACCCGACTGAATTATTTTACTTGAGCAAATCCGTGATGTGAAAGTTAATATCCCATGGCATTACAGGAAAAAAAAAATGCTGCGTTTGACGGCTAAATTGCAAATTCGTTCAAATGTACTCGCAGGTATGTTCCAACGTTTTGCCGGTCCAATATTTTTTTACTTTACATTGGCAGTAGCCATGCCGACAAAAAAAATAACAATTCCGAGCCGAGAATGAACAAATGCTCCTGAAATTGTTCATGTACATTGACAGTCACCGATGTGTCACAGTTAGGAGGCAAAATGAAATCATTGTCAGTAGCGATGGGAAAATGTGAGCCATCATGGCAGCTGACAGTAACTTCACAAACCGGAAGCCCCCCCCCCCCCAAAAAGGGCTCTGGATCAACCAATTTACGTCAAAATAGCCAGAAACATGAAAAACAGCAGTTCCAATGTCACTTAAAATGCAGGAACTTGTGGGGGTGTCATTGAGAGGCCTTTTTTTATAGCCATTCAGGAGCAGGAAAATGCATTCAGTACTTACTGGATAGGACGAATTTGTTTGTCCTATAACATCATATAATGCATTACAAGCGACAGCATAGGCGGGGTCTTTGTTCAATGTCTGACTTTGTTGGTTTCCTCTCAGGTTTTTGTCCATGGAGGAGGAGGACAACATGGAAGTCTACCATAGGTAACAAAGCACCATATTTTCTAAAGCAGTGCTACCTTCACTTGCTCATCATTTTATTTATTTATTTATTTATTTATTTTTTGAGATACAAGCTGTCGCCTGGTCATT